AAAGCACGTTGTATGGATATATATGTGCGGGTTAATGCCCAGCTACATTTCATGAAGCGTCCGTTTGTGCTAATTGTTGCGCAACTTATTTTCCACATAAAATATGTTGCCATAAATGTTGTTGTCGTTATCGGCTATCATCAATCCTATTCACACTTAAAAGCTACATGCTGAATACGTGCCCAGGTGCACAGATGCACAAATGCACGGCAATTTGTATGATGGAAATCGTTGAGAAGCATGTTGAGCAATCTGTCCTGTTTAGAATATTTACTCAGCTTCTGTTTTTGTGAAGTAGACGGTGTTAAACAAACGGCCAACAACAAAACTGATGTGTCGAAGAGCGAAACATCATTTTCAAGACACAACACAACACGCTTCCATCATGTTAACGCAGCAGGTCTAAATAAGCAGGTGTTTGTGTGCTTGTGTGACTGCATGTACGTCTGCGTGTATTTGTGCATGTGTGTTTGTATTTTTCAGTTTAATGAGATAGAAGTATTGTAACAAACATTATTAGCTTGCCCGTTGTATTCGGCGTTATAATCTTGTTTGTTAGAGTTGTGATGGTGCTCACACACTTCTGGGCCTGGAGTGTTCTTTCTCTGTTGTGTTCGTACGTACACAGGCTTTGCATTATGAATGACTCTCGGTACGTTGCATGTAAAATTTGTGACCTGTTCATCCGCGGTGTGTATCTGTGTGGTTCAGGGAAATGTGAGGCTATGAGTGGAGGTAGGGGTAATAATAACAACAATAATAATAGTAATAATAATAATAATAATAATGTTATTTTATATAGCGCCATGGCAAGCGACTGAGGCGCATTATCATTATTAAAACAAACACACGGTGCATAAATGCACGTGAATCAACGCATCACACACTTTTGTATGTGATAGGCGGGAATCTGTTTGCATTCAAAGCCGGACACCTTAGCCATTACACCATCGCGCCGCCCGGGTAGTGTAGGTATATAAATGCGCTTGAGACTTCCTACACCAAAGTACGATAACTGTAAATAAAATACAATGACCCGGTACATGGCTTTAGGAAGAAAATTTTAATATATTTTTGATAATTCAGCTGATGATTGTTTATCCAAAAACAGTCTGCAATTGAAATTTATTTTGATTTTTTTAACACAACTCAAAAAATGTAAGCAAAATTTATCTGAATAGACGTCGTTGTATTGAGTGTTCATGTGGGTGGATAGCACGTTTGCATCAGTCCTGACGTGTTTGTGTGTGTGGGTGCACTGGTGTCAGCTTGAAAGCCAACTGTGGAATTTTTTGATACGTTTGCACGTGTTGAATAGTTGATTAAAATGATTAACAAATTAAAAAGGTGTTTTAAATAAAAAGTGTGACATCTTCTGTTGCACGTTTGTTCAAGGTGCATATATATTAATATTCCCGAACATGTGATGATGGATTGTTTGCACATGTGAAGTAGTGTGCTGTGTATACTGATACGTGCTGGCAGACATTTATGTACATAAAAAGGATTCTTTTTATATATGTGAACAAATGTTTGTATTGTAAGAAGTTCCTGGCGAAATCCGTGTCTATATAAAAAGAATAGTTTAGACGAACGTTTTTGCATTAGGAGATTTAAAAGAACTTTTTTGAATGATATAAAAAAAAATTTTTAAATGTCGATGTTTCTTTTCACTTACAGAGAGTATTTCAAAATGAGCTTAAATAATAAAACATGCTGCAAGAAACCAGCCAACATGTGTTAAATAATTTTTTCTTTTTTGTTTTGTTTTGCAGACTTTGATTTTTTGAATGCACATTTGCTAGCTCAGATTTAGATATTCTAAATAACATATTATAAACATCAAAGTTCAAAATTGTTCATCAATTATTTGAAGCATAACTTTTTTAATTAGAAACATATTTGAAATTATGTATGAACGACAAATTGTATATATCTGCCCGATGTAATACGTAATGTATTCAATTAATTGATTGATGCGTGCACATTGCCATTCTGTTGATTGCCTCATTTTTTTCAGCGCGTGCACGCATTACGACAATCGTTGCCATCAATATCTGTCGTTATAAACAAATCTCGAAATATACTAACGTGAGTAACATGTTAGGTGGTCATCAAGTTTGTTCTATGGCCAGTATGCCTTGTTGTGTGGTCATCGTACTTATTGTGTGGTCATCGTACTTGTTGTGTGGTTAGTAGATATGTTTGAGATCTGGTTCCGGGTCTGAAGATTGTGTATTTTCATTTCCATTCTTATATTAGTCCCACCATCGATTGTTCTACAAACAAGCGACCAATCAACGCCGAGAGGCATTTTTTCATTTATCTCGTTCAAGTCTTCAAACAAATAAACATAAACTGCACGCGCACACAAACACACACATCCCTACGCACAAAGTTTATATATAAATATAATTATATTTATATATATATATATATATTTATCAGTAATAAATTAAATAACATTTGTATGCATTCTCGCTTTCATTTTTCCCTTTGATGATTGCATAGAGATAAGTTGCAGATGCATGTTTGTAACAAAAAAAACTGATCTTAAATAAAAGTTGCAGCAGGAAATTTAAAAATGAACCTCACTACAAGTCTCTATTCTATATCGATGCGGAATAACTTGATGTGCGATTGAGTTTTTATCGAAGGTTGGAAAAGTTTCATGGCACAGGAGGCGCAACGGATGCAACTTATAAAATTGTTTTAGATTACAATTCATTTAATGTTTACAAAATATTTTTGATTAAAATTAATCAATTACATAAAGTTTTCAAGGTTCGTATCTTCCTGCATCAAATTTACATTTTTAATTATAACAATTTGTAACTTGGAAAAGTTAGCTAACATAAATTTTCCGTCAATTATTGAAGCCAGATCAACTTAAATTCACACAAAACAAAATTGTAAAGTTCATTCATTTATGCACGTTAAAATATGGAATGAAATAATAGCGATGGGTGAATTAATGAGACGAGGAATCGTGCTTGTTCAATGCATTTTTTCATATCTTTCAATTGCCTCACGTTCACATCTTCGATTAATTTAAACTTTTTTCATTATCGTCTGTCATTTGAAAATTTTGGTTATGTTATTAATTAAAAATACAAATTACGCTTTCAAAAAATGATAAGCATGTAAAAGAAAGCAAAAATAAATCCAACTAAATCATGGATTCAATTCTGTAATGTAGTTGGAGAAGATGATCAGCACGAAAATAAATTGTGCAAAGCCTATGATAGAAATAGTGTTATTAATAAATTTCAAAAACAAATCGCAAATAGTAAATAACAGGCAAAGTCCAAAAATAATTGTAGTAGAAATTCAGAGGAACAAATAAGTAATGACAATAATAATGAAAGGAGAGGCCATAGAATTATTGGCTAATTTCCTGTGTCCTCTCACTACCCACACACACGTTTGCACTGCACAATTTTGTAACGATGTTTCCTGTCGTTTCGTATCGTATCGTCTCCTGTGGATCGTTTCGTATCGTACCACACATGTGTGGTTTGCCTAGCCACGCATGGTAGTTTTCATCCGTTTATTTCAAAATTTGAAATTTAACTTTTTCATTTAAGTCGAGTAATTTTTCTGTGTAGTTCATTTGATAAATTGTTTTAAATGGCCCCTCAGGAAGATATTTTGCATAACTGCGTCCACTTGAGAGTTTTTGAACGTTTGTTTCTGGTACACAAACCAACTTCAATCTGTTTTTATCTAATGTCATCAATTATGATTTCATATGCCACTAAAATATTTTTACTTTATTACAAAAACTTGTTTGAATAGATTGTTAGGAAGATTATCAGCGGGGGAATATGGTGACGCCGGATAAGAAGTTTTGAGAATTCAATCACATCACATCACATCATACCTCAAGTAACATCCTTCGGCTGTGTGTCTGTTGTTTGTGTGTGAATGTGTGTGTGTGAGTGTGTGTGGTTGTCTGTCTGTGTGTGTTTGGTGTGATGTTTCATGCCTGCATGTACTTACAAATATATGAGCGTGTCAGTTAGGTGATGAACAACTTGTAATCACTGGGAAGGGAGCCGATACTTTGATTGGAGTCTCATTCGAATAAATCCAAACAAAAGTTAGGGGGGGGGGAAATAATAACACTACGCAGGAGTGTTTATTGCAGAATAATTGCTCTAAAAATGAAAATTAAGTTTTAAAGATGAATTTTTTTAATGATGGTTGATCTGAGAAAAATTTATTGCATGTTAAAAATAGTTACACGTGTAAAATTTTAGTAAATAAATGACTTTGTAAATTATTTTTATAAACGATCAAATTTAAGTTACGCAAAAAATTAATTTCACCGAACTCGATCAATCAAACCAGTTTGGCCATAGATAACAAATGGACGGAAACTAATTCAAAACTGAGGAGCACCGAAGAAAATTTTTTGCAATCAAAATCTTCCGCTTGGTGGCACATCTTCATCACTCATGTTCTAATTCTTTCTAAAAGGAAAATTGTTCTCAATAGTTTGCCAGCATCTTGAAATTAATATTTCAACTTTCTCATCAATTATTTCTTAATATCATTTTTGAATGGACAAACATTTCTATAAAAAAATATACTAAAAATTTGGTGAAAATTTGTTATTATTGCTTTAGGAATGATTGCATGTGCAACCAAATGTATTTAAGACATCGTGAAATCGATTGTTTTATAAAAAAAAATTCTAAAAAGTAAATGATCCATCAAAACGTAAACATTTGTTTACTCAAAAAGTTTTTAAGAGAATTCTTATGACTGATGCTGCTAAAAATAAAACGCATTGCATGTTTTTAATGGTGGGTCTTGCAATTTGTTCGCAAATTAAGGATGATGTGTCCTTTATTTCAATGGTATTTACCGATGATAGTTTTATTTTAGTGAGATATTCAAAGTAAATACTGTTTTTGTGAGAAAATTTGTTTTTAGTTTTTCAGATATTGAAAATTATGAATTAAGCAAGAACGTTAATATGATCCAGTTGAATTATGTGGATGTTAGAAATTTTGCAAAACAGAAACCTAGCAAAGCAAATGCCACTACATCACACCCAAGCAGAGTGCAATGCAAGAAAACACTCGTGTTTCAAATGTTCGTGGATTTTCAATCGCAAGTTTCTTTCACGTCACGTGCCACTCAAGTGTGGCGTGGCTACCATCTGGTCGGCGTATCAGTTACAAGCTCTACTAAAAAGTGACGCACGTGTCTCTGCATGCTTACTTCAGACTTTTACTAACTATCTCCATTTTTTGGTTTAAGATGTTGTTTAACTATTAGTAACATTCAAATCTACACGATTCAAAATTAAACATACAACGTTATTTTTTTCCTAAGAACTTTTTAGTTTTTATAAACTAGCAATGTAATCCACATATTTCCAAGCTGTTGATACACACGTATGTAACTTAAGGATGGACACAAGAAACTTTTTAATTTCGTTTCTTAAAAATTTTAGTTGTTTATCCACAAACTAAAGAAACTTTTACAAACTAGTCTGCTTGAAAAAGAATTTAACATGGACGAAATCTTAAATAAATCATTCTCTACATTAAGCTTAATGACTTGAAAATTAATTAAAAACTAACGGATCAATCAATTGTCATTGTTAATTATAAAATTTTGAAATGAATTGAAAATATGAAATAATATAATTTTACAACTCTAGCATTAACGAACGAATATTGTTTTTATTGTATTACGTTAATAAAAAAAAGGACAACTGTAGAAAAAAATAAAATAAAGCGCATATACGCACACAAATAAACATATGCATAACTATACTTACGTAAAGATACATGAGATAATGTTAAAATTCTTAAAAACCTAGAAGACCTTCAAAAATTTCAATACCTATATGTCCACATACATTCGCTATTGTGCTAACTTATTTTTTAAAGTATCACAGAAGACTGTAATTCCTCTTATACATTAAAATACATCCGTTTGTTATTTTCATATATGTTTTTATAATGCATCGGAATTTTCGGTGAGCCATACAATCGTTTGTTGTGATTGATCTGGATTTTTTAATATACCCGCGGATCGTTGATGAAAAGCCTTAATAGAACTGATTTATTTTATTAATATTTTTATCAATATAGGAAACTTTTTGTGAAAAGGGATGGCTGGTAAAACATTCAAAAACACAAAAACCAACTTTTGTAGTCTCTTTTACTTCATTAGTTTAAATTTTATTTTCTGAATATAGGCAGACTCTTGTTAAAAATTCAATAATCTAACCACTTTCAATTTAAATGGAAACATTGTCTACAAGCTTGCGTTTAGGACTCTTGGATGTATCAATTGAAAATTTTTGCAATTTTTTCCAAATTATAAATAATTCATTATTTTATTTAGAAGTGTTGCTGGTTTAGCGACGAGCGGCTGAGGTTCTGAACGTTTCAGCGCACGGGGAACTCTATTGTGTCGATGTTCAGTCAATTCATTTCACTGTTGAGAAATTGCGTATTCAACCATCACGAGTTTACCAGCTTGGAAACAATAGTTATCTAAAAAATCATCTCTTTAGAACAAAAACGTAAAATCTCTGAGGAAGATAAAAAAAAAGAAAAAACGTGTAGTGGAGTGGAGTGAAAGTTACAAACCAATTGTTGCTTTATGTTGTTATTAATAATAATAAGCGTCATTATAAATTTTCACATCTGCATCTCGCAGTTACAATATTCAATTAACATTAAATTTATGAAGTCTATCTTTTTTTTCAAGTTTCGTTTTGTAACATTTTGTCGCACTTTTTAAAAAAATGACAAAGACGTTGCAGTCATGACGTGACATACTGCAACGTCATGTGAGACCTTTTAGTTCTACGTGATGCTGAACAGTGTCAAGTGCTGAAACATGTAACACGCCAAAATATTACCGAAGAAAACAGCGTATTCCGGGTTACACAAAACACTGTGTACTCAGCAAAAATATCTGCTAACCGGATAATAAATTGAGCTAAAAGTAAAAAGCCTAAGTAAAAATTAGTCACGTGATCTTAATACAACAACGCTTGTTACTTTATATTGCTTCGTGTTATGCGGTGAAAAAACGTGATTGTAGCTAACAAAAATGACATGATACAAACAAACATCACGTGATACAAACAAACATCACGTGACTCAATAAACATCTGACTGAAGAGTCATCACGTGACAACAACACACAGACGACCAGTTCGGCAGTCAGTCATCTCTGAGACTGTGGGACCAGAACAGAAGCAGGATCAAGGCGATCGACAATAAATATCGATGGAAACTCAACGAGAACAGGGTGAGTAGTTTGATGATGGTGATGAAGAGAACGACGATGGTGGTTGTGGTGGCGAAGAAACTGATAGTAAGGCAATAGTGATGATGATGGCAGAAGCGAATTTAGAGGAAGTCGGGTCCCCTGCTATCAACAGTCAACCACCATTTTGTTGCAATTTTTTAAAGTTATACAACACATACCTTTTAATTACTTTTTAAACATAAAAACATTTTTTCTACATGAAAACACTATTTAAAAAAACTAACACAAAATTGAGCGATGAGTTGTAAAAATATTTATGTATTTCTTGTTTTTGGCCCCCACTGTCAAACTTTGCCAACCCCCTCCCCCGTAAAATTTACCTAGATCCGTCTTTAAAATGGTGCTAATAATGAGAATGGTAAAAAGTGGGAATGGTGATGAGGACAACGATGACGATGATGCCACGATGATGTCAATGACTTCATTGATGTTTGAGATTCAGTTAATGGTGGCATTACTTATCGACAAAAATAATTTGGTTCATGGTGCTGTTAATGTGATGAAGATGATGTTGCGGTTGGTGGTTGCAGATGATGTTGCGGTTGGTGGTTGCAGATGGTGTTAATGTCTTTTAACGTTTTGAATGTTGGCGTGAGTCTATTTTAGATGTCGATGTAGATAGCGTTGAAAATAATGTCAAAAATGTCTTCAGCGCTGACGCTGATTTGATATGTGATTGCAGTTGGTGATGTTGGGTCTCTATGTTAGTTGGTGTTATTCATGTTAATGTATTTGTCAGCATTCAAAGTTAATGTGGGCTTAAAGATCTGTTAATGATGGTGAGATTATAAATGTTGTTGATGCCAAAAAACATTGTTAGCGATGATGATGATGATGATATGGATGATTACGACGTCAATAATTAGATATAAACGGCAATTTTTAAATTAATGACCCACCTTTCAAACACGCACACGACAAAAACATGTACACCCAACACAATGAAACAGCTTCCGGGAAAGATAAGAACTGAAGCGGGCAATCCGAGCGATATCATCCTACAGGTTGCCCAGGAAGAGAACGCCGGCCTCATCGTCATCGGATCGCGAGGACTCAGCAAGATCAAGACGACCTTGTTTGGCAGCGTGAGCGATCACGTGCTGCACCACTCCAAGTGTCCTGTCCTCATCTGCAGAGAAAACAGCAGCAGCAGCAGCAAGGAAACGAAAACCAAAAAATGATTGAATGTTGTCGCGGTGGGTTCTTTAGGTCTGCACGAAGTCGCGTGTGGAAGAAATAAAATGAAGTTGCTTTACAACGTGGTGACGTCAATGTTGCTGTCATGTTATGTAAAGACGCGCGCGTGTGTGTGTGTGTGCGTATGTGTGTGCGTATGTGCGTATGTGTGTGCGCGTGCGTATGTGTGTGCATGTATGTGCGTGTCTGTGTGGTGTGTGTGTGTTCAAAATTTTGGCTGAAAATAATGAACATTTTTCTTTAAAAAATTATCTGATTTTGTAAAAATTAAAAAATCTTCCACTGAAAAATTGATGCCGAAATAAAATTCATGGGAGGCCATTTGTAACGGCGTGCATCTTCATGTGTGAAAGCATTTGAAGCACTCTCATCATGCAACTCCACTCAACTCCTCCAATTGCAACTACATTTTCTTACCTACCACTGGTATCTGGTATTTTAATAATATATATAACTAAACAACATATATATACATATATATATATACATATATATATATATATATACATATATATATATATATATATATTGGTATATTTATTTATTTATATAATATATATATATATATATATATATATATACATAATATATATGTATATATACACACGTTTGTGTTTGTGTGTGGATATGTGCGTAATTTGCGCGAGTGTGTTGCAGGTGATTTGTTGCGATTGTGATTTGTGCAAATGAGCGTAACATAAAAATATAAAAATAACGTGGAACATAAAATAAATATCCGCAAACGTGCTTTACGAGGAACGGTGCAGTCCAGCGTTATTATTGTTCACGCACATGCACATACAAACAACTCGACACCGGCACTTGATGAAACTACATTCAACATCAATATACATACAAATATAACCAAGCATACAACGACAAAATATTATACAAATAATACAAAAAATGATACAAAAACAAACATACTAACGTACAGACATATAAAGATATATACAGCCCCGACCTACAGACATACGAGTATACGCCACCACATACAAATATAAATGTACAATAGGGACGTGCCAACACGTCACGTATGCACTGCGTTGCACCGGCATCTACCTCTATTTGTGTGTTAGATCATGATGATATACACACATACACACACACACACACACACACACACACACACACACACACACACACATGAATGTAATAGGACATATAAACATAAGCATACATACATAAACACACAAACATATAAATTTAAACAAACAAACATAAGCAGGCAAACATAAACATAAACAAAAACATACAGGCACAAACATGTAAACATAAAATGTGAAAAATTTGTAAAAACTATTTTATAGATTATCAAATTAACTATATCGACATACAACATTATAGTGCATTAACTTGACATAGAAATATATATATAATATATATATATATATATATATATATATAATGTAATATATATTTTATCTTATATATTATATATATATATATATATTAATTATTAAGAAACATTTATTAAACGCTAATTAAACAATTTCATAAGCGTTCTCTCAAAAACAAAACAAAATGTTATATGTGACTGTTCATGAAACGAAAATCAAAGTAACAAATTTTACAATTTCACAGAAAATAAAAATGTCTTTAGTTCTTTTTTAAATAAATCCAGAGAAGTTCCCGATCTTCTTAACATAGGTGGAAGGTTATTCCAAACAGAGGGACCAGCCACGGCAATGTCCCTAGAACCAATTTGCAAACGCGTGACTGGCACCCTTAGCAGATTCAAATCATCCGACCTGAGATAGGAAGATGATGCCGTTTGTTTTCTGGTAAATTTATTTTTCATGTATTCAGGTGACAGGTCATTTATAGACTTGAACATGAGAACTGCAATTTTAAAGACTATCTTTTTGTTAATTGTCAACCAGTGTAGTTCATTCAAAATCGGTGTCACGTGATCATACTTCAAACCACCA